TTACAAACTTTTTATTTAGAGATAACCTTAAACTTTTAGAATAGTTAAAAGAATGGTACAAAAATACTAGTATGCTCATCGAGTCAAATTCATCAGTTTTTAACATTTATTCTTTCTCCCCTCGTGTGTGTAATTTTATTCTAAACCCTTTAAGAGTAAGTTATGGAAATTATATCAGTTTGTCCCCTGAATATTTCCCAAGATCAGGGGCATCCCTTGTGTACCCGTATCATTATATCACACTCAGAGTGTTCCACATCGAGCCCATACTGTTGTTTAACATATGACTCGGTTGCCCACTCTACTTAGGGGATAACACTGCATTCAGTTGTGATGATCCTTAGTCCTCTACTTTGACCTTCGTCACACTGGCATTTTTAGAGTGTGGGCCAGATGTTTGGTAGCACATCTCTCAGTTTGGGTTTGTATCATGGTTTCTTATGATTAGATCTACAGATGGTTTGGTTTGATTTGGTTTTTGGCTTTGTGAGACAAGGTCTCCCTTTGTAGTCCAGGCTGCCCTTGCACCTACTGTGTAGCCCAGGCTGGCCTCTAACTCATGGCACTCCTCCTGCCTCAGCCTCCTGAATTTTAGAATTATAGGCCTAGTGATTTCTTTGTTTTTGACAGAACTATTCCACAGTGGTGTGCTGCAGTTTGTACCAGCTCTTGTGAGCCAATTCTCACATCTCTTTCCAACCCCATGTTCTGTGAAGTTGTATTGGTGGCTTGTAATCAGCCATGATGGAACTATTTTACACCATGGGAACCGACAAGTGCTGTCAATCAGAGCTCCCTCCACCCAGCTTTCTAGTTGTGGAATATTTGCATTTGGCAACACAGCACATTGCAGGGGTGAGTGTGTGTCCTTCTCAGCACACCTTATCTGAAGGCACTGGTGCTGCTGCATGATCATGGGTGCACCCTGATTACCCAATCAAGGTGGTATCTATCAGATTCTCCAGTGAAGAGCTAGTGTTTTCCCCTTTGTAATTAGTGAGTAACATATGGAGTGATACATTGTGATTATAGAAATATTCTTTCCTATTTCTAATCATTCTTTGACCCAAGTTATTTATTGAAGATTCTTGTGTAGAGGTCACTCATGAAGCCATAGGTTCAATCACCAAGTGGTACTCCATTCTTTCGTTGTTGTGTGGTTTTGTTTTGTTTTGTTTGAGACAGGGTTTCAATACGTAGTTCTGAACTTACTATGAACTCACTGGGTAGCCCAGGCTGGCCTAGAACTAATGGTGATCCTCCTGCCTCCGCCTCCCTAGTGCTGGGATTACAGGCATGTGACACCAAGCCCAACAGCACCCCACTCTTGCCAGGACTGCATGTTATCAATAAACCACTTGGGGTCATTTTTGCGCAGTCTTACCTGATTTCTGTTTTTACCAAAAGCATGCTTTTGGAAGATTCCTGGTGAGAGATTGCCCTGGAGTCATAGGAAGTTAACTATGTACCAACTTCCCACGATGAATGCAGTCATTATGTATGGCAAACATGTAATAATAAAAATAAAAACATTTAAAAACTAGAGCATAGTAGAATGGAAAGAGCCCTGAACTGGAAGTCTGGAGTCCCCACACATCAGAGGATAGGATGGTGCACTTCCTGTCCCTGGTGCTCAGTGCTGTCATCTGTAACATAACCAGATCATATTTTCCTAAGTTCCCTTTCAGGTTCTAGAACTTTATTTTATTCAGTCCTCTTCCTTGGGAATCAACAGTTACGATTTACCTCATTAGCATGGTGTCTTGGTCAACTAAGCTGACAAACCAAGGACAAATGTGAGATGTCCAGTGTGGAGCCTGTACCCAGTGACCTGGTGATTGAATTCCTAAAGCAGCTGGATTAGCTGTTTTGGTGCGGCGCTGGGACCTGACCCTGCCGTGTATTGCTCATGCCCCCAGTCCCTCATCTCTCTCACTCCTCTTCTTCTCTGTGTATCCTGATGGTCACAGAAGCCCATTGCTGGATCTCATTACATTGCTCTTTGAGGAGATCCTCTCTCAAGTATTAGCTTGCCCAGTGCCTATAAGGTTACTTCTATTACCAGGGTTGGAAGTAAAAGAAATCTATCCTGGGCAGTCCGCAGTTCCCAAAGAACTTTTGCCCTTCAGGCATGAACTTCTAGAGTTCTTTAAATTCTTTGTTAAATTTCACCAAATGAAATTGCTGAGAATCAGGCAAATGTTATTCTTAGTTGATGTTATTCTTAATTGGTGCATTGTTTAGTGAACAAGTCCAGCGATACTGGCAATCAGTATTAGGATTCAGAATTTGCTGTTTTAGATTTTTAGAACAGTGGTCCTCACATGGAAGGTTAGGTAGGGACAGAGGGCTTTAGAAAAATATGAGGGACTGAGGCAGGAAGATTTCAGGTTTGAACCCAGCCTGGGCAATTTAGCGACTTAGCAAAGGGCCTTTTTCAAAATAAAAAATACAAAAGGGATGAGGATGTAGAACAATGCAAAGCCCCTGGATTTGATTCCCAAAACCAAAAGAAAAAAAAATGTGGGAAGTTGCTGAACTATGCATTCTCTTCACTTCCTGGTATGAGAGTTTGAGAGACCCCTCTCCTTCACCCCACTCCACAGTCCCCTGCCAGGCTGTGGTTGGGTCGAGGGGGAGTTGGTTATTTGCACCCCATGCCTTTGGAGCTGTCTGAGCCTGGTACTCGTCATGCTTCACTTGCTTATTTCAGCATTTTTAATATTTAATGCCCCTCCCAAGATGGAGAATTATTTGGCAGCTTCTTAAAGATTATCTGCTTTGGGTCTTTTTATCTGTCTGCTAAACTTCCATTTACTAAATTGAAAAGTTGTTGTCTAGAATATTCTTCAGATGACTCATCTGAGGCTCTGAGAAGGGAAAGGGCGTCACTAGGGGGTCAAGGGAGTTGGGAGAAATTTTCCACTTATTTTATTCGTCTTTAGTTTGTGTTTTTAAATATTCCCCAAATGATGCCCTTTTTCTCTTCTTTAACCTGATAAGACAAATTTGACTTTAAGCTTTGAATTCTGGCCTAATTGAAACTCAGAGATACTTTGGAGTTCCTCTCTTCACTCCCTCCTACTCTATGAGATTCTTTTTCTTTGAACCTAAGAAATTTAACCTCTCTAAAATTTCATCTGATCAACATCCACCTCACCTGTTGAATTAAGCATTTCATTATCTTTCCCCAGATTAGAAAATCTCTGTCTCTTGCTGGACAGATAGGAAGCCTCTGATGCCTACAACCAACCTGGCTTGTCTGTGATTTGATTATCAGTTTCTAGAGATGATAGGCAAGCTTTGAATTCCAAGGCTGGGGTCTGACCACTCTGGAAACAAAAAACTTTGAAGCAGATCCTCTGCCTCAGGTTTCAGAAGGCAGGCCTGTATGTTGGAGGATGAAATTAATTTGTTTTTACTTTGTAATATCAGGGATACATGAGTAATTTTCACTGCTAGCACTGTGATCTCCTGGGCTTGTCTGTCTATTTTAGTTTATGGCTTGTATAAGATTTATTATTATGTTTGCTTTTTGAGAACCCTAATCAAATCACTTAGAACCTGAGAAATAATCTTAATCCTTCGGAAGTCCTCACTGTCAATAGCTACCTCTGTAAACCTCTCTACTGTACCTTTATTTAAAGCTACTTACTTACCCCCTGAGGTACTTGGGATAAGTAGGAAATGTCCCAGCTCAGATTCAACAGGTAGAAAGCAGGAAGAAAGAGACAGTGCAGGGCAATTTTCAGGCCCAGGAGTTTCATTGCTTAAGGTTTCTGCATTTTCAAGAACAAATTATACTGGGCTTGGGCAAGGAGAGGAGCTTGGTGGAATTGTTTTTGGATGTGTAATTCTTACAAGCTCACATACCACACACACACACACATATATATATATGTATGTGTGTATATGTATATATATGTATATGTATATGTATATATATGTATGTATATGTATGTATGTATGTATATCTCCAACCATATATTTTTAAAATAAGACTCCCAAGCCAGGTTTGGTGGCACAAGCCTGTAATCTTTGCACTCTGAGAGGCTGAGGCAGGAGGCTTATAAGTTTGAGCCCAGTATAGGCAACTTAGAGATTTATGAGGCCCTGTCTCAAAATTAAAAATAAATATAAAGGCATAGCTCAGCATAAAGGCCCTGGGTTTAATACCCCCCTCCCCCACAAATCCCTGTGTACCACAGTACAGTTATAATATCACGCAACACAGTATTTATGCCCAAATGTTGCCACATTTGAAGGTATAGGTACTGACAGGCAGTGCTCCTCCTCACTCACTTGTGCCTCCCCACCAGGCTACCCAAACAACATTCTTATGAACCAAGGCCCAAGATAGCAGTTTTTTCTCGGGGATCCTGGAGAATGAAAAGATAATATGATGGGAAAATAATAACTTAGAGTCCATCTGAATTCAGTAGAAAGCATCAGAATTTTAGTTTTCTAAGCATTTTCTGTGACTGATTTTTAAGGCTTTCCGTTTTATCTAGAATGAACAAATATTAACTCAATAACATGTCATGGACACAGAAGTGAATTTATGTTTTAATAATATTTGTATTTGTGTGTGTGTGTGTGTACTGAAGTCACCATGCTGAGACACAGAAAAACATTATCTCAGGAAAACTCATAATAAATGAATCTAGGACAATCTGTGGAGCTTAAAAATGAATGTGTAGAGATAGAAGAATTATTCATTTAGAAGTTGTCTGAATTTTCAGCCTCAGAGTCCTTTGTGCTTCTTCCCAAATGCTGATCTCTAAACAAAATCCTCCAGTTTAAACACACACACACACACACACACACACACACACACACACACGCACGCACGCACATCCCCCCACTTCCCCTGCAATGGTATGATCTGCATTTGATCGTAAACTGGGTGCCAAGCTGTGACAGTTTCCCGTACTCCACAGCCATTTGCTACAACTCAAGGCAGCCCTGTGTTCAGTGATGTTTTCCTTCTCCACCAACAGGGTCAAATAGAAGTGGACAGCGAGACCATCTTCAAGTTAGCAGCCCTGGTTTTGCAGGTAAGAACTAGACAAGTGCCTCTGGCCAGCTCCCTTTTGTTTGGTGTTTTTGTTGTCTGCCTGTAACTCTGAAACTTTTGCATGGGCCAGTGTCTGATGGATTTTTAAATTGTTTGCCAGTGAAAAATGTGAGCCACTGTCTTCTGCTTTAAAAGAGCTTTGCATGGGTTATATATTGTGATATTGTATATCGCCAGAAAAATGAAATGCAGGCTGCTCTGGGGGAAAAGAGTTAAGACCATATTCCTGGAAAAGCGCTCTGAGTTACTTGAATTTGGGAAGCAGCAGTTGTTAGAACAGCTGTAATTTTCATTTAAATTTAGTAACTTTTGTGTACATCTTCTTGAGGTTGTATAAGACCCCTTTAATTTGTAAAGTAACTAGTAGCCAAAAAAAAAAGTTTTTTTCTGCACTCATTTAAAAATGAAAAAGAAAACAGTGTATGTTGATGTACCTGTGTCTTGGTTTAAAAAGTCTGCAATCCACTCTACAAAGCTGCCACTTGAATGGAAAAGCATTTATCATGGGATCTTAGAAATGTAAAGGGAAAATAATGACCTGCATTTTTTCATATTTGTCTCTTCTGTTAAGAATAAGAAATATTTACACTAGCATTTTCTTATCAGTGCCACATTCTTGTCCTTGGCCATAGGGAAAGTGTTCCTTATGTACATTCTTTAACATTAAACTCGGGGTTGATGATGGGAAAATAACCAAGAGTGAATAATTCATTTAGCTTAGCATAAATACATATTGATCATCTGTCTTTGTTTTTTTTATTTCAGGAAGCCAAGGGAGATTATACCAGGTAATGATTTCTTTTCTGAGATTACTATGCAAAATAACCCTAGCTGAATCATTGTGTTATTTTAAATAACAATGGTTGCAAAATCAAAAGAAAGTAGACCCCAGCCTGACTATCTTCAAATAGAGACCTATTCTTTCTGTGAATGAATCTCAGAACAAACCTTTCTTACAATTTTTCTAGCCAGAGTGACAGTGAATGGTAATCAGAAGCTTTCCAAAGTTCTGTTTTCTATCATCCATTAATTAGTGAGATGAAGAAATCTATAAAAAGCTTCTGTAGCTTGTGTTGATTTAAAAAAAAAAAAAAACTTGTAGTGGTCATGTGTCTAAAGAGTTTTAAGGTATGCACGAAAAGATTACATCCATCAGCTGCTTAGTTAAGGGATTAATAGGGGCTTCCTCGTGCAGCTGCCTTGTAGGGGCCTCACCCTTCATACACTTGACCTAACAGTTGTATTGTTGCTGAGACACTTGCTGGGTTCTAAATGCCTCGGGGCACATCCTCCACCTTTCTGTTGGAATTTGCCCTGTACCTGCTCCTTTCTGTTCCTTAAATACAGTAGATGGGTGTAGAGAAGTACAAGCCCATAAAGGTGGATGGGAGGCCTCTGATTAGAAACAGCTCACAGGCCAGTGACCCATTGAAAGCCTGGCTTCTATCCTGTTAATGTTCGACTCCTGGTAAACTCTACCCATAGATTATTTACAGATCACCTAGTACTCATTCCCAGCCAAGTCTTTGAACAATGTGCTCCTTAACCGACTGATAAAATAACGCCTTCCAAGCCTGACAGCTAATTTCCAGCCACTGGAAACTCCAAGCACTCTCCTCATCTGCCCATTCAGTTTGGTAAAGCAGTTGGGGTTACCACTTAGTAACCTGCTGACCACCCTTCACAGGTACAGATATAGATATAGATATAGATATAGGCCATGTATGTAGCTCAGAGGCGCTGTGCCTGCCTTGTAAGCACAAGGTCCTGAATTCAATCCCTGGTACCAAAAAACCAAAAAAAGCAAGATATAGATAGAGATAGAGAGATAGAGATAGATAGATAGATAGATACCAAATTTTTTTGAATTGAAAGAAATTAGGAATACTTATTTTATGGAATGATATATTGCCTGATTCTAGAATTGAAAATAAAGCCCAACCAAGATCTTAAAAAAAAAAAAAAATAGAAGCTGAGTGTGGTGGCACACACCTGTAATCCCAGCACTCTGGGAGGCTGAAGCAAGAGGATTTCAAGTTTCAGCCAAGCTGGACAACTTCGCAACTTAATGAAACCCTACCTCAAAATAAAAAATAATGGGCTGGGATGTAGTTCACTGTGAAGGGCCTGAGTTAAATCCTTAGTATTGAAAAAATAAAATTGGAAGAAAGTAACAGGGAGTGGAAGGATAAATTCATTTCTAGATCTTTAGCAACATCAAGAGCTGTTGCACTCCAGTATCACCTTTGCCAGAGCAGTCACATTCTCTGGAATATGTGGAGTGTTGAGTGTGGTCATTTTATGGGGTAATTTGGGTCCCAAAGCTCATACCCTGCATTTTTTGATTGCTAACTGTTCCTCCCCTGATTTCTCAGGGTCAAGCAGAGGCCTCACACCCTGAGCCTGTTTCCTCATCAATAAAATGGGAACAACCCCACAGAACTATAATTAGAATTAAACATATGCACATTGCCCAGGGCCTGCCTAGTTTTGAAAAGCATCCTAGGTCTATTCTGATTCGGTTGCATGCTCCAACCTGGGCAAAAGCCCTGCTGCCATCCTAAAATGTAGACTTGACCATTGTTTACTTCTGAAGTCTTAGTTTCTCACAGCACCCAGACACCTGCCCTTCAATACCCCAGCCTGGCATTCGTGGATACTTGCCCACACTCTGCTGCTCCTGCTGCTCCTTTACATCTGTTCATTCCTCCCCTCTTTCTCTTCCACATAACCTGTGGTATTTTTGCCTTCACCATTTTGTTCAAACTCTTCTTCCCAGGATGCCTTTATGATTGTTTTGTGTTTGCGGTGCTGGGGGTTGAACCCAGGGCCTTGTGCATGCTAGTCAAGCTCTCAGTCACTGAGTTGTATTCTCAGCCTAGGATGCTTTTTAAAACTATGCCAGGCTGGGCATTTTGGTGCACACCTGTAATCTCACCACTGTGGGAGGCTCAAGCAGGAGGGTCACAAGTTGGAGCCCAACCTGGGCCCCAGGGGAGGAGGGGCGAGAGGTGGGGTGCGGGGGGGGGGGGAGACAGAGACACAGAAACAGAGACAGAGACAGACTGTTGCTCATTTTGCTTCCTGGCAGGTTTCCTTCAGAGAATTTAAGTCAATGTTATTGTAACCAGTAGGAAACCCTGCTCTCTAAAAGTTAATTAGAATAGTGGAGTGGGGGCTCCCATTGTCTTTAAATAGCCAACAGCCTGAATTTCGGAGTCAGCCTTTACCCTACAAAGATAAGGATCTGCAGGGGTAACACACCACAGGTAAAGGTGGAGAATTCCTGAAAGCTGACGGGGAGGAGATGAACCTTTATTGCTCAGCTGCTGAGCCAGCCACAAGTGACTTTGTAAAAGCAGAGGGTTTTGTTTTAAGATCCTGGAAGTTACCAAGTGACTATAATTAAGGTGCTGCTGTTTATGGAAGAGAAAAATGAGTGACTACAATTTTCAGTTCACTGCTGAAGTAGAGTAAGAGTGTTGAACGCCCATCTTCATTTGGGAAGGAAATATGCCCAATTTACACCTGTGCTATGAATTGCATCTATTTCTCATGGGAAAGGAACTTCTCTGGTTGCCCCTGAGAGTAGTTAATGAAGGAAGAAAACAAAAATCAAAGACTTATAAGAAATTTGCCCCCCTCAGTTCTTATACCCCTGAAACACAGCTCTAAAATACAATTTCATTTCCAGGTCCTTCAAAGTGAGTTACAGTAGGAAAAACAGGAGCTCAGCTGGAATAGTGACATGTGCCTATAATCCCAGCATTCTGCAAAGCTGAGGCAGGAGGATCACAGGGTTAGGCCCAGCCTTGTCAACTTAGTGATTTTGTGAGACATTTCTCAAAAATACAAAAGGGCTAGGGATATAGCTCAGTGTGAAGAGCATGGGTTCAGTCCCCAGTACACCAAAGGAAAAAGGTAGGAAGGCAGGAAGGAAGGAAGACAGGCAAACAGGCAGGCCAGCCCCAGGGACCAGGTGACGAGTACCTGAATCAGCTTGTAGGTGAGAGTGAAGATGGAGCTTTAGAATTTTACTGGATTCAAATCCAGGCCCAGACCCTTGGTGGATAACTGTGGGTAACTTACCTACCCTCTTTGGACCTCAGTTCATCTCAGTTAACATGTCATTGTTAACAATGATGTTGCTGTTGGGCCAGGGATTTAGCTCAGTGATGCCCTGCCTTGCAAGTTCAAGATCCTGAGTTCGATCCCCGGTACCAAAAAAACCCAAAAAACAAAAAACACACAAATGATGTTATTATTGATAATACCTTTAATCCTCACAGCAATCCTGTGAATACAGACATTATGATTGTCCCCATTCAAAGCTGAACTTTGAAGCCCATAAGTAGCCTGTCTGGGGTCCAGAGCTACTCTGGCCTAGTGGGGCTTCACGATTTGTGGACTTTACCACTGCTAGAATTCCCTTATATCCTGGAGAAAACACAACCTTGTAAGAGTGATTCATTACCTTCCTTACTAGCATAGTAAAGAAAGAAAACATGACAGAAATTGAATATGCCTGTTTTATTTTAGGCTGGGACTTTAATGAATTAAAAAATCCCTTTTGTGAACAACAAGAACAACAACAAAACAAAGAACAGTTGGGTGAGGACTTCTCATGGTTAAAGTTAAACAAAGTTAGCCAAGCTTAATAGCACACTCTTGTAATCCTGGCTACTTAGGAGGCCGGGACAGGAGGATTGCAAGTTCCAAACCAGCCTGGAAAGCTTAGCAAAATCATGTCTCAAAAAAAAAAATAATAAAATGGGCTAGGAATATAAATCAGTGGTAGAGAGCCCCTGGGTTCAATCCTCAGGACCTAAAAAAAAAAGTTAAAGTTCACCAAGTTTTCTTCACTAGGTGTTCTGAGCCTGTTCACTGGCCCTGCGAATTTCCCGAAAGAGAACACACTGGCAGCATCTTCCACCTCCTTTGTTCCTGATATCTGAGCCCTTGCTGGACTAGTGTGTTCTGTGGACCTCACTTCCTTAACCGCAGTTTTGCTAGAAATCAAGGAGTTTGCATTTCATGGCTTACATATTTTGCATTTCAAAATACTTTGCTTTCATAGCATAAATGCTAAATGCAAATATGTGAAAACCAAAACCCCAAGTTCCACTTCTGTATAATTCTAAACTACTAAGCCTACTGAGGATCAGCCCTAGGCAGGAGGTGGCTCTCTGGCCCTCTCTGGGTTCTGTGTCACTCTGCACTGGAGAGGCCCAGGCTGTACGCAGGTCTCAAGTGAATCAGCCCTCTTGGTCCTCTGGGTTCTGGCTGGTTGGGACGTTGGCGCCTGCGCAGTATTTAGTATGAAGATACTGTGACGTAAACTGCCGGTCCTCCTCAGGGTGCAGAAGTGGAGGGAGGACGTTGAGGGGAGGAATTCTACGAGCCCTTGCTGATAGCTGTTTCAGTGCCTTTCAGTGTGGTTCTAGAAACACTGAGTGCTAACATAACACATAAAACAGTTCTGTTCTCTGTGTTCAGACAGCTAATGCGAGTGATCCTGTTCTGTTCGATCAGGAAGGCCGTACTGAGTGACACATGCAGGAAGAAGGGATAAAGCTTTGGGAAGTCAAGTTGACCATAAGTAATTTTCACTTGTCCAGTGGGAAGTTTCCAGGAGAGGAACAGATTTCTTACTGAACATTCTTTGATAGGAAAACATTGTTTGTATTGCTTCATTTTCTTCTTGATGCCTATTTTTCTGATTCTAGATGTGAATGAGAGGTAATATTTTAATCATGATAAAAATATACATTACATAAAATTCACTATC